TTATTCAATATTTATGCTGAACAAATAATTCAAGAAGCTGGGTTTTATGAAGAAAAATGTGGCATTAGAATTGGTGAAGACTCATTAACAACTTGTGATATGTAGATGATACCACCTTACTTGCTGAAAGTGAAGAGGACTTAAAATACTTACTGATGAAGATCAAAGATCCCAACCTTCAGTATGGATTGCATCTCAATGTAAAGAAAACAAAAATCCTCACCAATGGACCAATAAACAACATAAATATAAATGGAGAAAAGATTGGAGTTGTCAAAGACATCATTTTGCTTGGATCAACCATCAACACTCATGGAAACAATAGTCAAGAAATCAAACAATTTATTGCATTGGTCAAATATGCTGCACAAGACCTCTTTAAAGTGTTGAAGAACAAAGATGTCAGTTTGAGGACTAAAGTGTGCCTGACCCAAGCCATGGTATTTTCAGTAACCTCATATGAATGTGCAAGTTGGACAGTGAATAAAGAAGACCATAGAAGAATTGATGCATTTGAGTTATGGTGTTAGAGGAGAATATTGAAAGTACTATGGATTGCCAATAGAACAAAGATACCTGTGTTGAAAGAAGTACAGTCAGAGTGCTCCTTGGAAGCCAGGATGGCCAGACTTAATCTCTTAAGAGGGACCAATCACTGACGAAGGATATCGTGTTTGATAAAGAAGAGGTTCAAAGAAAAAGAGGAAGACTGAGATGGATCGGCAGAGTGGCAACAGCAAATTTAGCAAAGATTGTGAGGTTGGCCCAGGACCGGGCAATGTTTCGTTCTGTTGTATATAGGGTTGCTATGAGTCAGTACCGACTTGATGGCACCTAAGAGCAACAATAATATAGTCTAAGATGCAATCGTTCAAATGGAATAAATGGATATTGAATAGTTTAAAATCATCAGGAGAGGTGTGTCCCAGGGTTATGTCCTTTCACCTTATTTATTCATCTATATGCTGAACAAATAATCTGAGAAGCTGGATTATGTGAAGAACAACATGGTATCAGTACTGGAGGAAGACTCATTAACAACCTGTGATTTGTATATTGTGTAACCTTGCTTGCTGGAAGTAAAGATGACTTAGAGTACTTACTAATGAAGATCAAAGACTAAAATCTTCAGCCTTGATTCCACCTCAGTGTAAAGAAAAGGAAAATCCTAACAACTGGATGAATAAATAATATCATTATAAATGAACAAATGATTAAAGTTGTCAAAGATTTCATTTTGCTTGGATCCACAATCAACTCTCAGGAAAGCAGCAGTCAAGAAATCAAAGGGCATATTGCTTTAGGCAGCTCTGCTGCATAAGACCTCTTTAAAATTTTCAAGAGCAAAGATATCTGTTTGAGGACTAAGGTGTGTCTGACCCAAGCCTTGGTATTTCAGTTGCCTCACATGCATGTGAAAGTTGGACTATAAATAAAGAATACTGTAGAAGAATCAAAACATTTTTTTTTTTTTGATTCATTGTATTTTCTTTTGTTTGGAATAGTATTTATATCTCTTCACTTTTTCCCTTCTTCACTCACCCCTCACCCATCCTATAACTATCATTGAATGTTTCATTTAGCAAGAAAATATTTTCTTAACTTTTAAAATCGGTGGCCTTATGCAGTATTTGTCTTTTTTGCTTGACTAATGTCACTCAGCAAGGAGCTCTGGTAGCGTAGTGGTTACGAATCGGGCTGCGAACCTTAAGGTCAGTGGTTCAAAACTACCAGCCGCTCCGCGGGAGAAAGATGAGGCTTTCTACTCCCGTAAAGATTTACACCCTTGGAAACCCTGTACAGGGTCGCTATGGGTCGGAACCGACTTGATGGCACTTAACAACAACAACAACAACAGTGTCATTCAGCAGAATGTCCTCCAGGCCCCATGTTATGAAGTGTTTGGCAGATTCTACATTATTCTTCAACGTTGGGTAATATTTCATTGTGTATAGTTATCAAAGATTGTTTTAACTATTCTTCTTTTGATGAACTTTTAGACTGTCTCCATCTTTTAGCTATTGTGAATAGCACTGCAATCAACATGGGTGTGCATATATCTAGTCATGTCACAGCTCTGATTTCTTGGGTATATACAGCAAGTAGAAGGATTACTGGGTCATATGGAATTTATGTGTCCAGATTTTTGAGAAAGTGCCATGCCATTTTCCACAGAGGTTGCACCATTTTATAACCCCACCAGTAGTGTACGCAGGTTCCAATTTCTCCATACCCTCACCAGCATTTGCTGTTTTCTTTCTTATTGTAACTTTGCTATTAATGCTAGAATAAGAGATCTCATTGTTGTTCTGATTTGCATCCCTCGAATGGTTAATGATTGTGAGCATTTCTTCATACATTTGTTGGATTCCTGAATGTCCTCTTTGGTGAAGTTTCTGTTCATATCTTTTGACCATTTAAAAATTGCATTATTTGTCTTCTTCTTGCTGAAGTGTTCAGTTTTGGAGAGCAGTCATTTGTCTGATATATCATTGCCAAACATTTCTCCCAGTCTGTGGGTTCTCTTTTAACTCTTTTGTGAAATACTTTGATGTATATAAATGTCTAATCTTTAGGAGGTCCCAGTCATCTATTTTGTCTTTTGTTTGTGTGTTTTCAGTTATGTTTGATAGTATATTCATTCCATGTATTTTGTGTTTTTTTGATCCTCACTTTGTCCCTGTTTTTTTCATTGATGATCTGTTTAGTTTTAGGTTTTACATTTAGGTCTTTAATCCATGTTGAGGTCATTTTTGTATATGGTGTTAGAGATATGGGTCTTGTTTCATTTTTCTACAAATGGATTTCCAATTTTTCCATCACCATTTGTTGACGACTAAATGCAAAAACCATGTGGGGACCATGTCTGACTTCCTCTGGCAAAACATAAAATCAGCCCAAGGCTGATCCCTATGAAGCTGAAGTCAGACATGCGTCCACTCTACAACCTTCTTTTCCCTATTCTGGCACCAACCATTCCTCCCACAGCATTCTCTGCTTCATATCTGAGTTTTATATTCTACTACAACAGCCACACAGAACTCATAACAGTACTCCTGTTTGTGGGGTTTATTAGGGAAGTGAACAAGGAACAATTCAGGATCAAAACTAACTCGGACACAGCAGTTTCCCAGTCAAGAACACCTCTTGTCTGTAGTATTGCTGGCATGCCTCACTCTTGTCTTCAGCCTTTCAACCATGTGGTCCCTTGACCACTGTGCTGCTTAGGCAAGTGATACAAATCTCTTTTAGCCAGGCTGTGAGTGCCCAAAGGGCACATTCTGCTAGCCAGTCTCCTGCCTGTAGGCACTGAGCTTTACTCAGTTCATAGGCCTAGAACTGGAATCTGTTCTCTCTTTCCCTGGCACCGCCTCTGCTGTTGTCCATGCTGTTGCCTCAGGACGTCTCACATGCCACTCATGCTCTTCAATCTTGATGGTCTTAGGAGCTTCCATCTCTGCTTCTGAGATGACTCCTTTTAAACCTAGCTGGAGGGCAAAACGAACCAATCCCAGCCTTACAGTTCTGATATGACAGTGTTTAATAACAACAGTCATTTTCTCTAGGGTCCTCACCTTCTTTCTTCAAGAGGCTTACACAAGGAGCACACACAGTTCATTTTTCTTGATCTTGCAACAAATTCAGTTCTTGTTTTACATGTTTTGTACCCATTAAAGCTCAGTACCAGATAATGAATCTTAATTTACCAATAGGACCACTACATTATTTTCCTGAACATCTATCCCCAAGATAAATCATGCTTCTACCCTTTGAATAGAAAATCTACAATTGTACCTTATTGTATCTGCTCTAAGGTTATAACCAATTGCAAGATACCTAAGAGATATTAAAATGTGAAACACTTTAACTATAGAATAGATGAAGCATCTTTTTTTTCCCTTTTCCTTAATATTAGAAAATTATTTATTTGTGTAAACTGTTATTGTGTAAATCAAAATCTTATGAAGAGGTATTTAAAGAAGGAAAAGAAAGGCATGGTCTGTATATTGTTTCTCAAAATGATTTTGCAGTAATTATGCCATAGTTACCTCAGAGTAGTTTGTTGTAATGTGGAACATACTTTCTAGGTGTACTTTTAAATATATACTAGAGAGAATGCTTCAACATGTATGTGTGTATTAATAGGACAAATAGGTTCATATATCAAAAAGAAGTACTAATTTACAGGATAATTTTAAGCAGGATCATTTGGTATTCTCAACTATTTGTTTACCGGCCTCAATGCTGGGGAGAAAGGCAAAAAGAAAGGAGAATAATGTTAATGTATGTTGTTAGGTGCCATCTGTGTTGGTTGTAAGAGAAAAATGAAACGGGAAAGGAAAATACATTTAGAAAGTTTACAACACAATGAAAACAAAATAATTTGCATTCTCCTAATGGGGCCTTCAGTCATTGGAAAATAGCTGTTAAACATCTGATAGCTCTATGTTTGGAACCTAGCAGAATGAAGAATTTCTTCCTGATTCCAGTGGCTTCACTGCTTTGTTTGGCTATTTTGAAGATAGAATTTCAGATCAAAATAGACTCAAGGTGTGTGGTCCAATGTATAAGTAGAAAAATTAGCTCCATGTGTAGTCCAGAGAGTATCAGTTTTTCTGTAACTGATTTGTGATTCAGGTCTGCTTCAGTTATCATGAGAAGTCTGGAGCAAACTGAAACCAAATGTTTCCAGAGAGTCTTAGGATCAGGAATTTCGCTGCACTTGAAATGGTGGCTCAGGAGAAATTAAACAGTTAATGGATACATTTTTGTAATGTTCTTCAGAATTTTGCTAGTGAGTGAATCAGGTCTCTAGCACAGTGTCGCTGGGTGCTCTTCTGTCATTTTTGATACCTTTTCATTCATGTTAGCTTCAGGATCTCCTGGGTGTCATTGTGGCTTATATAGTCAGCATATTCCATTTGTTGTTTATTCTAGTCAACTGAAATGCATTGTAAAAATACCTTAAAGTTGGTAACTTCCATTGATTCTTCCTTCAGACCTCTCTGCTAGAGAAGTGGTGAATCCACCGAAATCTTATGAAGAAGTATTTAAAGAAGGAAAAGAAGGGCATGATCTATATATTGTTTCTCACAATGATTATAATGTGGGTAAGTATCCTCCATTGTAAGATGAGTCTAAGTATATGGGAACAGTTAGATTTGTGAAGAAGAATAATGTACATAGTTACATGCCTGGCACATAATTGTTGTTGTTAAGTGCCGTTGAATCGAATCCGATCCATAGCGACACTGTATAGGGTTTCCAAGGAGCAGCTGGTGAGCTTGAACTGCCGACTTGAACATAGGTGCTCAGTAAATGATATGTTGTTGTTAAATGCTGTGGAGTCGTTTTCAACTTACAGGGTTTCCAAGGCTTTAAATCTTTTTGCAGGAGCAGAAAGCCTCATCTTTCTCCTACAGAGCAGCTTGTAGGCTCGAACTGCTAGCCTTGTAGTTTGCAGTCAAATGCTTAACCTGTGAAACCACAATGCTCCCAATAAAATGATACCTATCA